AAATTAATTTTTAGCATAATATTGACCATTTTGTGGGGGAGATACCAGAAGGATATTCCCCATCTTCCAACATAAACTAAGTTTGGAAGAAATATTAAGATGTGCAATGTTGGGATGAAATTCCGATTATTCCTCTCGAGAGTTATCGTGCGCACCAGCCAGCCAGACAGACGGACAACGCACGGACGGACGGACGGACGGACATGGCTAAATCGACTCCAAATTTTCTGAAACTGATTTGGTCCAAATAAACATGGGGTCTAACACCAATGTTTCGATGAGGCACAATTTCACCGTATCAAAGTGTATATATCCTCCTGAGGGTATAAATATATATGTCGGTGTCTAATTACGCCCACTTTGATTAAACAATATATGTAGGACCTTTAAAATATTGAAATCCTTTCCCAGATTTCATTCCGATTCCAAATATCGAAATATGGAGACGTTATTGTGACCTGCGGACCGACTAAAAAGAAGATAAAAATAGATTTTGCACATTTGTCCTCTACATATATTTCACATAGTAGAGTTCCACCTTTAGATGCATATTGACAGACCAATCGTCGGATGGATGAAAGTGATATAGGAAAAATTTTGGGCCTAGAACATATATTTCAAAGCATAACCAACTCTTCGGCCAAAATAATTGTATTTGGTCTGTGGCTTAATACGAAAAAGTATCTGTAATTATCCTATTACAGCAGGATTTTGAGGATTTCCGAAAAGTTTTTCAAACGAAACTTTTTTATTCTATTTGAAAATATTGTCTGATATTTGGGTGTAGCTCCAATATAAAATTTGCACTTCGATAAAAAATTTAATTTCATATCTGAGAACTGGAGAATTGGATACCTAGGGGGATGCGATATAATCTGATCAGGATAAGATGGACACAGAAATAATTCGACACATTGGGATTTTCCGATCAACTTTTTTGTGAAAATTTGTATTTTAGGTTTTAAAAGGATACACAAGCCTCATTGAGGTGAGGTTCTCCCAGGTTAAAATATCACTTTACATAATCTTGTCAGCATAGGTCCATGGTTTTACATGGCCTCCAAATAAAGGTGTAGTCAATTTTCAGATGTTTTTTTTTAAGTTTCTAACCAAATTTCCCAAACGAAATGGTATTTTTATACCTTGCTCTATAAGGTTGAGGAGTGAGAAGTTTTTCCCATGCAAATAAAGTTGTTCGTTGTGAAATAATTATTTTCTATTTGAAAATAAATTTTGAGACCTCGGCTTTTTTTAATAAAAAAATTTTCAAAGACCTAAAGAGGCGTGAATTTTCAAAGAAGAGGTGCGGATTTTTTTTTCCAAATTGTTTAATTTTTCTCCTGCTTAATTGTTCGTATATACCAAAAATCTTAATAATTTATTTATGCTATTTTTTCAAGATATTTTTTCTTATATTGGGTGCCAGAAAAAAATATTTCAAAATTTTTTTCCTATGCTGAAAAAAGTGTGGAAATATTTGTTTGTACTCTTAAATACTACTGATTTTTTTAAGAAAAACAAAACATTACAACAACAACAAGTGCTAAAAAATATTTTTTCCTACTAAAAATATTTCAGAACAATTAAAGCAAGAAAATGATTTATTTTTTTTTAAATAACAACAATAACATATGAAATAATAAAAATAACGAATGCAAAAGGCCTGGGACTTCCAACACCAGTAGTTGCAATAAAAACAACAACAACAACTATAATAACGGCAAAGCAGTACGACCAGAGCAGCAGAGAATAAACGACAGCTGCAGCTAACAAGAACAACAAATGATTACGTGTCATATAATATGAAATACAATAATAACAATAACAAAATGCAACAACATCATCAGTAAAAAAAACAACAACAATAATAACGGAGAAAGTTGCAAAACATATTTTATTATTGCATGCCACACACACACACAGAAGTTTAACCTTTAAAACAGCTGTTCGGTTTCGGCCAACAACAGTCACTGTAACGAATAGAGAACTGAGAGGGAGAAAGTTCACACGAGTGAGAGAGAACAAATGGTAGGGAGTTAAAGCTCAGCTCATCACACACTGACTGGAGAATCATTCGTGTGTGTCACAGATGCATTTCGTGCAGCAGCAGGTGCATTTGTTTTGACGAAACGGGAAAACGAGAAAATAAACGAAAGAAGAACGGATGAAAAAAGGAATAAAGAACAAAACGACAAGAGTAACAAAAATTCGTGTAATAACAAAAAAGCAACAACAACAATAACAATACCACACATCATCACATACGTCCTTCAGTGAGTGTTGTCACACATTCACACACACATATAAGTGTACGACGTCGTTGTTGTTCTTGTCGTGTGCCACTACCATGGAGGCTACACCAAAGGTGCATCGTCATCGTCCACGACGTACCGAATCACGTCATCGCCGTACGGAACGCCAAACGACAACGACTAGCAGTACCTCAGACAGCAAATCTCCGGCCCGTTCCACTAACGACATCCTCAATGTGGAGGCGGGAGGAGCGGGCTCTTCGTCGGATGCCCTGATTGCTGCGGTGGCCACACGACTCATGCAGGAACATGAACGACAAACGTCCACCGAAACAGTGGACACGGTGGCCAGTGGCAGTGGTGGCACTGGCGGAGGCCACAGCTCCAGCCAAACTTCACAACAAACTGTGGTCCTGGTCAACGGGCATGCTCCTCACGACCAGGCCACTGAAGATGAACAACCCGCTAACGACTCGGCAACGACTCACCACCATCAGGCAAAGACGACCAACGAAAACAACGATCCTGCAAAACCCTCAGAAGCCGATGCCAGTGAGCTGTGTACCGGCCCACCCGATGGCCCCAGCAGTAGTCGCAATTCGTCCGGTGATGCCATGAGTCTACGCGAAACACTACAACAATTACCTCCCACCATAACGGCACATCGACATCGTCGCACTCTCTCCCCCCACTCACCCTCAAGACGGGTACTCGAAACGGCAGCGGATGCCTCGTTTCATCGCGGCATTTTAGGTTTCATGGATCGTGAACTGAAACAATCCTCACCCACACCATCGGCTTTGAGTGCCGGCAGCGGTGGAGGTGGCAACAGTGGAGGTGCGGGACGTAAACATCAATCGCTATCCGATCCGACAGCTAGTCCAGCCCAGAGATCGGTTAGATCACGTAGCAGTTTAGAGAAAAGTCCACGACGCAAACGTAGCAAATCGGAATCGCGGAGGAGAAGGGAACGGAAACTCATTGCAGCGGGAGAAATGGAGGTGCGTCAGGCAAATGAAACGTTGATGCGATATTTGAAACAATGTTCGGAAATGAATGATGCCTCGTTGTCGGGTGAATTGGAAATCGATCAGAGTTTGGAGGAGCGCAAGGTGCATCGCAAGACGAAAAGTCAGCGGAACAAAAGGGGGCACATTATAAGTGAGTATTGAAATATTAGAATTTTATTTAATACTTAATGTTAGAATTCCGAATTTTTTCTATTCGAAAAAATATATTCGGATTTTTTCCTATTTGGAAAGAATTTTTCCGAATTTTTTTCTATTTGAAGATAATCACTCCGAATTTTTTTCTATTCGAATAAAATAGCACAGAATAATTTTTCAAGGTCCCCAGAGGTCTAGGCCTCAAAGATTTTTTACAGAATATTATTTCAAAGTCCCCAGAGGTCCAGTTGAGGGGCAGATTTTGAAAAATATTTGAAAAATATTTTTTGGGGACCTGCAGAGGCCTTGATTTCGAAAAAATATATTTTTTCAGGACCTGCAGAAGCCCGGATTTTGAAACAATTTTTTTTCCAGAATTTAAAGAGGCTTGAGTTTTCCGCAGTAGACCCTCTAGAGGGTCTTCGAGGGATACAAGACCTGCAGAAGATCTTCGAGACATAAAGTACTTCTAAAAGATCTTCTATGGATCGCAGACATTTAAAATGTCTTCTAAAGAAATGACCTTCTGAAGGCCTTCTATTGACTTCTAGAGGTCTAGAGGGTCTCTTCTCGATAGAGGACCTCAAGCTTATTTTTTTGGATATGGACCCTATCGAGTTTTTGGGTTGTATTTTATGTACAAAGAACCAGAGAGCCTTCTACGGATGTATGACCTCTAAAAGTCCTTCTAGAGGTCTAGAGAAAATCGTGTCGGCATAGGACCTGAAAATCATTTTTTTCGATATATGACCTTCATCAACACGTTTAGGCACTCTATATTGAGCGGAAGAACTTCAGTGGGTCATGGATATATGACCTCTAGGTGGTCTTTGAGAGGTGTACAGGGTGAACTGTCGATAGAGGACCTCTAAATGATTGTTTATGTATATAGAACCTTTAAAGGTTCTATGAATGCGGGTTTTATGAATGTGGGACCGACAACGTGTATTCTTGGTATAGAAGACTTCCGGATGGGTTTCTAATTATAGAAGACCTCCAGAGGGTCCTCCACTTATAGAAGATGTCCGACGAATCGCCTTTGTATGTGAGACCATTAGAGATTATTAGGATTTAGGAGACCGCCAGAAGGACTCTAAGTATAGTAGACCTTCCGAGGGTCTTTTAAATATAGGCGACCTCCAAAGGGGTTTCTTCTTATAGGAGACCTCTAGAGGGTTTTCAACTTATAGAATAAAACCACAGGATATTGTAGGTATAGAAGACTTTCAGAGGCTCTTCTAGGTATAGATGAAGACCTTCTGAGGATCTCCTAGGTGTAGAACTCCTCCAGAGGGTCTTCAACGTATATACGGGTATCCTACGTATATAAGTCCTCCAGAGAGTCATAAAGGAATAGGATCTCTCCAGAGGATCTTCTAGGTATAGAAGGCTTCCAGAGGGTTTGCTAGGTATAGAAGGCTTCCAGAGGGTCTACTAAGGATTTGAAGACTTCCGGAGGTATATAAGGTTTCCAGAGGGGTTTATAGGTATAGGAGACTACCTGAGCGTAATTTAGGAGTGGGAGATCTCCAGAGGGTCTTCTAGGTTTAGAAGGCTTCTAGAGGGTATTCTTGGTATAAAAGTCCTCTAGAGGGATAGGAGACTTCCAGAAGGTATGCTAGGTATAGAAGACTTCCAGAGGGTCCTTATATGTACAGGACACTCCCATAGGGCATTTTAGGTATAGAAGACTTCTAGAGGGTCTGCTAGGTATAGACGACTTACAGAGGGTCTGCAAGGTACGGAAGACGTCAAGTGTAGGTACAGGAGACTTCCAGAGAATCTTATATGTCTTATATCTTACTGGAAACTTCCAGAGGGTCTTCTAGGTATAGAAGGCTTCCAAAGGGCCTGCTAAGGATTAGAAGACTTCACGAGGGTTTTCTAGGTAATGAAGGTTCCCAGAGTATCTTATAGGTGTAGGAGGCTACCAGAGGGTCTTATAGGAATGGGAGATCTCCAGAGGGTCTTTTAGGTATAGAAGTCTTCCAGAAAAACTTCTAGGTATAGAATGCTTCCAGAGGGTCTTCTAGGTATAGAAGGCTTCCAGAGGGTCCGCTAAGGATTATAAGACTTATCGAGGGTTTTCTAGGTAAAGAAGGTTTCCAGAGGATCTTATAGGTGTAGGAGGCTACCAGAGGGTCTTAAAGGAATGGGAGATCTCCAGAGGTACATAAGACTTGCAGAAGGACTTCTAGTTATAGAATGCTTCCAGAGGAGCTACTAGGTATAAAAGACCTCACGAAGGTCTTTTACTTAAAGAAAACCTCCAGAGGTCTTCAACTTATAGAAGGCCTATAAATGGTATTTAAAACCCCTCTAGGTATAGAAGACCTGCAGGAGGTCATGCTATCTCCAAAAGGTATTCTAGGTGTATAAGTTCTCCATATGGTCTTCTATGTATAAAAAACCCTCGAGAGGGTTTTCTAGATGGCTTTCTGAATATAGACTTTAAAAATTTCCTTCGCCTAGATGATGCCACAGCCTACTTCGCTTCTTTTCTATATTCCATCAAGTCATGTTTCATTTTTGTAATTTCCAACATAAATTAGGTTAGCTATTAGCTATCCCTTTACCCTGAAATGCAGCCACTGAACACAAATTAGAAAAAATACGAATTGAAATCGAAAAAAAACATACCCGAGATAGCTCGCAAATGATATCTGGTTCTCTTTATTAGTTGGTCTAATAAAAAATAATTTGTCCTAATTTATAATAGAAAAAAAACTATCAAAGTGAATGGGCCATGGCAGGATGACTGCCATCCATAGCATCGGTATCAGTTGCTGCAGCAGCGGCTGCAACGACAACAATCACGACAAACATAATACGTTAAAGGTCAAGTGTAAACAAGAAAAAATACTAGCGAGTGGAAATTTGTTTGTTGTTGTCGTAGTTGTTGTTGTTGCATTTCAAGCAAAATCCAACAACATTCTCTGCCGAGCTACAAATAAAAAATAATAACAAAAAATTTTAGAAAAAAGGGAACTTATCTGCATCTACTCTCAACAATAATCAAAGAATGTTTGAATGAATGCAGGGTAGAGGGTGAGAGGGGAAGAAAGTGAAAAAGAGAGAGAGAGGGGAAATTTCTTCAAAGGACTGTGTTTGATATGGAAATAATAGTGGATGCAAAAGTATGACCTGATGAGAATGGTGCTGTTCCTCTTCCCTCCTCACGCCAGATAGGGCAAAGGCATGTGGATGCGTGAGTATTTTCCTTTGCAGGACTTCAGATAGTTTCATAACGGAAAAACTTTCCATTGGTCGGTCAGGTAATTTACATCAACTATTACCAATGCTAATGATCTGAAAACATTCTTGAGCATTAGGGCAAAAGACCCATTAAGACCCTCTGGAGGTCTTCTATGATTAGTAGAACCTCTGGTAGTCGTCTATATGCAAAATAATCTCTGGAGGTCTTTTCTAATTCTAAGACCATCTGAAGGTGTCCTATTTATATTTAGAAGATTTGATTTTTTTCTACCTTGGAGACCCTCTGCAAGTCTTTTTTAATATCTTTTTATTTGTTCGTAAAAATCAAATTTTTTATGTTCAAAAACTTATATTGTTTCTATATTCGGAAATCGTTTCCGAATAGTTTTCTATGTTCGAACATTATTTCCGAAATTTTTCTCATTTTTCCTAGATCATTCGAATTTTTTTCTAATTATTCCTAATTTTGTATTTTTCCTCTCCATCGTTCCAGGTAAATTCTATGCCGCCAGCGGTTTAACATCCCTGCTAAAGGAACTCTCCGACGATATAATGCCAGCCGAAGGTGAAGAGATTTACAATCCCTTTACGCCGGTCGTCTCGCCCACAGATGACACACCCGCCCATATCGATAAAATGTTTATGCAAACATCGTCGGGTTATCGACCGGTGGATCATTGCTATGCGAAGCATTCGTTTATGCGTTCGGGTGGTATGAGCGGACAGGTTAGGTGAGTACGAGACACATACATAAGTTTATTTTTTAAAGGGAGGGTAAGGGGTAGGCCTCTCTATTATCAAAAATCCTATATTTGTTAGTAATGCGAGGAAGAAAAATTGGTGGAAAGTTATAGAAGTTTTAGGAAAATTATTGGGTCGGGAAAATTGGTTTTTGGGTGGTGAGAAATTGTGAAACGATATCGAATTTTAGAATTTTTAAAAAAATAATATTTTAGAAGGGACCGATATAGGTCTTCAGAAGTTTATCTGTACCTACCTTTTGATATCTTTTATACCTAGAAGAACTTCTGAAGACCTTGAACACCTAAGAAAACCTCTGGGGATTTTCTTCTTTACATAGACGACCCTCTGGGGATCCATTATACCTAAAATACCCTCTACTGGTATTTTATAACTAGAAGATCGTATAGAGATTGTCTATATTCACAGAAGACCCTACGAAGGACTGCTATACCCAGAAGATTCTCAGGAGATTTTCTAAACATAAACTACTTTCTGTAAATCTTATATACACAATCCACAGAAGTCCTTCAATACTACAAGAAGCTTTTCTACACCTAGATGACCCTCTGACAGTCTTCTACACCGATAAGACCTCTGGAAGGGGCTTTATAAATAAATATTCATAAACGACCCTATAGTAACATTCTATTAGAGGTCTTCTATAAGCAGAAGATCCTCTGGGTGCTTTTTATAGACAGCAGACCCTCGAGATACCTTCTATACTCTGAAGGTATTCTATGCATAGAATGCCGTCTTAGGATCTTAAATACCTATTAGATCCCTTCTATACCTAAAATACCCTCTGGAGTTCCTCTATATCTTGAAGTCCATCTCATATAGACCCTCTAAATGAATTCTAAAACTGGAAACGCCTCTGAAGGTCTTCTATACATAAAATATCCTCTGGTGTATCTTCCTCAAGATCTCTTCCGTACACATAAGAGCTTCTGGAGATATTTTATACATAGGAAGTCCTTTGAAGATTTCCAACAAATAGAATACCCTTTGCAGGCCTTCTATACCTTGAGAATCCTCTGGTGATCTTCTAAGTTTAGAAGAACCCCTGGAATCGTCAATATACATTAGGAGGTCTTCCTTCCTTCTGGAAGGACTTTTATACTCTTTTGGTGGTCTTCTATATGTACAAGACTCTCAGGACTCTCTTCTATACATACAAGACCCTCTGGAGGCATACTAAGTTTAAAATAAAATAATAGAGATCTGCGATATGTCGACGACGATTCAGCGACTCTTCAAAAAATACAGTACCTATTTTTTGAAGAGTCTCTGAATCTTTTTTTAAACCTCTAGAGGCCTGCTACGGGCCTCTTAGCAGACCTCCAGAAGGTATTTAATACCTAGAGAAACCCTGAAGACTCTCTAGAGGTCGGACATCTTGTAGACGTTGATATCCCTCTAGAGATCAATATCACCATAAGACCATCTGGATGACCCATATCCATGGAAAACCCAATATATGTCTGCTATCCATAAAGGACATTTTGAAGGTCATCTGCCCAAAACGACCATCTATAAATCCTTCTTTCATAGCATATCCATTTGAGGCTTAGAAGACCCCCTTAGTGGTTATTCGTTCATAGAAGACTTTTAAAAGATCAATTAGAAGTCCCATATACGAAGAAGTCTCCTATCCATAGCGAACATTAAAAAGTTCAGCTATCCATAAAAGAACCTCTATAGATCCTTCCTTCGTAGGATACCCATAACAGCTTTGAAAATCCTCTAGAGGTTCTTTATCTATAGAGGCCTTCATAATCTTGAATAGGTTCTCTATCCATAGAAGAACTACTGCAGGTTTCCTATTCATAGAAGGCCTTTTGAGGTCTCAGGAAGGCCATTTAAGGGTCAGAAGAACCATTCGAGTTTAGTAGTCGTTCTTTTATGAATATTAGACCAACTACATATCTTCTATCCATAGAGGACCTTCTGAAGATCTTCAATCCATGGTAGAACATCTTATTTTTTTTTGTATTCTGCAGAGCCTCCTATCCATAATAGACCTTTGGAGATCACTAGGGGACCTTTGAAGATTCAAAAGAATCTTCAGAAATCTTCATATCTATAGAAGAATCACTAGATGTATTTTATTTATAGAAGACCAACTAGAGGTTTTCTAGCCATAGAAGACCTTCTAAAATTCTTGTATACATAGAAAAACCTATACAGATCATCTATCTTATAAGGTCGCCTAGAGGACTTCTGTGTATAGTGAATAATCTATAGATAATTGTCCTTTTCCCATAAATAGAAGTCCTTGTGAAGTTTTTCTGCCCATAGAAGATCCTCTATAAATGCTCTAGCCTAAGAAGGTCATTCGGAGGTCGCCTAGGTTTGGAGGATCTTCTGTAGAAAATAGGCCACTATATGTCTAAAGGGCCTACCATGTACATAAGACCGCTAGAGGTCTATTGTCCATAAAAAATCTAGAGGTTATTCATTCTTAGAAGACTTCTAAACGGCTATCTGTCGGTAGACAGTCTACTATGGAAACAAACCATCTCAAGGATCTTGTGTAGGTGGATAGAAGGCCTCAATAATCTGACATTCCATAACTATCTTCTATGGCACTTCGAGGTCTGTAGAAGCCCATTTAAGGATTTCCAATCCAAAAAAGAACCTTTAGAGGCCTTTATCTATAGAAGAACTACTAGAGGGATTTTATGGATAAATGACCTGGAGTTGATCTTAATTTTTTTAAAGGTCTTCAGTAGTTCCTCTATCCGTAGTAGAATCTCTACAGATCCTCTACCCTTAAAACGTCTTCTAGGTTATGAAGATTTTCCTTTGATAAGGCCATCTGGATGTCTATTGGGCCGTCTATGGGTAGAAGGTCACTAGAGGTCAATTATTCATAGAAAATCTAGCGGTTATTCATGCAAGGGGGTTATCTATCCATAGAAGGAAAGAAGGAAGGTTATTCTTTCCATAAATAATCTCTACAGGACTTTTATCCGTAGATTATATTAAGAAACTTCTAGAGGTGAATAGATGACCTCCAGCGGATCTTCTGTTTATAAATAGATAACGTTCCTTCCAGAAGAGGTCATCAGTCGATAGAAGTTCTCTAAGGATATATATTCTCTCAAGGAATTTCTAGGGGCGATGAAATGGCCTCCAGAAAATGTTCTGTTAGTAAATGACAGTCTGAAGACCTTCCACAATTAGATTGTCTTCTAGAGATATTTTATAAATAAATTGCCTTCAAAAATTGACCTAGAAGAGGTCCTCTGTCGACAGAGGGTCCTCTCTACACATAAACCCATTCAGGGATTTCTTAAAGGTGAATCGAAGGTCTTTAGAAGGTATTTTAAAGACAATTGACTTTTCAAAGGCCTTCCATAATTACAATGCCTTCTAGAGGTCTTATTGAAATAAAGGACCTTCAAAATGTGTCATAGGATATTGTTTTTGTTGTATTTGTAATATTTAAACATTTTTTATTTTTGTTGTTGTTGTAAATATATAAATATTATATATTTTTTGTTTTTTTTTATTTTTAAGAAATATATAAATATTTTTCTTTTATTTTCTGCTATTTTTTGTTGTTGTTTTTTATTAAATCCAGTGGTGATACTGGTGGCGGCGGTGGTGGTATTGGTGATGGCAGTGGCGGTAGTGGTGGTGGTATTGGTGGTAATGCCGGCTATCAACTACGCCCGAGTGGTAGTTATGGTGATACTCGTTGCCTGCTCGATGGTGAATACTATGGGTGAGTATTTACACATACACTACAGTGGGTGGTGAACTACACACAGAGCAAGAGAGAGAGTGGGAGTAATGGGTAAGATAGGGAGTGATTTGTAAACAGTAGTGGGTGGGAGAGTAATGGCTGGGAGTGTGATATATGGGAGAGTAGTTGTAGTAGTAAGGTAGTACTAGTTGTGTGCGCTAAGGCAGTTTGTTACCTTAGCAAACACAAAACGAAATGGCAAGGGGTCAGCCATAGAGGAGGGAAATGTGTGTGAGAGAGACTTAGTGTGAGTGCATGGGAAGAGTGTATGAGGAGAATGAATGTGTGGAGTGCTTGTGTTGTGTTAGGTGGGTGGTAGGGAGAGAGTGTCTAAGACTCCGTTGTTTGTTTATTTGTGATATTGGAGAGATGGGTGGTGAGAGTAAACTGGGTGATAGGGAGAGAGAGTCTAAGACAAAGTTCTTTGCTTATCTGTGATATTGAAGAGGTGGGTGGGTGCTGAGAGTAAACTATAACGTATGGTATTTCTTAACACCCACTATGTTTGTATTATAATTCTTTATTCTTCTTCTTATTTTTTTATTATAATTTCTTGTTGTTGTTTTTTGTGTAGTGGTTATAGTTGTTGTTTTGTATTTATTTTCTACTCTACTACGTGGGGAAAATAACTACTTTTCTATATTGTGTGTGTTTGACTCCTACTATTATTTGCATTTTGGAATTTGTTTTTTTGTTGTTATTGTTGAACATGATTCCTTTTGTCGTTGTGGTTGTTATTGCGCTGAGTTGTGTTGGCCTTTAAGCACTGCTCTCCATTTAAATGTCATGACATTCAGTCTTTGCTATTTTGTTGTTATGTTACTCTCCAGTTGTTGTTGCTGTTGTTTTTGTTGAACTTACGCATTTTGTATTGTTGTTATTATTTTTTCATGATGTTTTCATTCGAAAAAAGAGATGATTTCTTTCAAGAGGTTTACTTTTGACTTGGCTTTTTTAATATTTAAGAGATTTTTGTTTGGAGAAGTCGTTATTGGTTCTTGAGATTGTTCTTTGTACAGTGAGGAAGGCCAAAAGGGGTTGGAGGAGGGGAATTTAAAAAAATAGAAATATGGTGTATATTAAAATATGAAGACTATTTTTAATAGAAAAAAATATTAAGAATTTTATATAGTGTAACTGGTTCAAAAAAAAAAAAAAAAAAAAAATATTTAAAAAAATCAAAACCTCACATAGGCCTTGGAAAAAATTATTGAAAATATCCCCACCTCATTAGACATTAATTTTTTTTTAAATCCACACCCCATACAGGTCTAGAAAATTTTTATTTGTAAAAATCCCAGTCTTATACTACGCCTAAGAATAAATTTTTTCAATAATCCACACCAAATCTACACCCTACAAAGGTCTCGATTTTTTTTTAATTATTTAAAAATTTACGCCTCTTATAGGTCTCACTCTAGGCACAATTGAATACGTTATGCCAAATTTCGTGCAAATGGAAAGATATAAAGAGACTTTGGTGCACCAATTACCTAAAATCGGACGAATATATATATATATATATATATGGAAGCTATATCTAAATCTGGACCGATTTTCACGAAACTTAGCACACATCCTTTTAGACCTAATTCAGTATGCTGTGCCAAATTTCGTGCAAATCGAAAGATATATAAGGAACTTTGGTGCGCCTTTTTCGTTAAAGTGGCCGAAAATGTATATGAGAGCTATATCTAAATCTGAACCGATTTTCACGAAATTTATCACTGGTTCTAGACTTAAAAATTATTTAAAAAATCCACGCCTTTTATAGGTCCCGAAAAAAATTATTTAAAAAATCCATGCCTTGTATAGGTCTCGAAAAAAATTATTTAAAAAATCCACGCCTTGTATAGGTGGGCCGAAAAAAATTATTTAAAAATCCACGCCTTTTATAGGTCCCGAATAGGCCTCGAAAAAAAATTATTTAAAAAATCCACGCCTTTTATAGGTATCGAGTAGGTCTCTAAAAAAATTATTTAAAAAATCCACGCCTTTTATAGGTCCCGAAAAAAATTATTAAAAAATCCACGCCTTTTATAGGTCCCGAAAAAAATTATTTAAAAAGTCCACGCCTTTTATAGGTCCCGAAAAAAATTATTTAAAAAATCCACGCCTTTTATAGGTCCCGAAAAAAATTATTTAAAAAATCCACGACTTTTATAGGTGCCGAAAAAAATTATTTCAAAAATCCACGCCTTTTATAGGTCCCGAAAAAAATTATTTAAAAAATCCACGCCTTTTATAGGTCCCGAAAAAAATTATTTAAAAAATCCACGCCTTTTATAGGTCCCGACAAAAATTATTTAAAAAATCCACGCCTTTTATAGGTCCCGAAAAAAATTATTTAAAAAATCCACGCCTTTTATAGGTCCCGAAAAAAATTATTTAAAAAATCCACGCCTTTTATAGGTCCCGAAAAAAATTATTTAAAAAATCCACGCCTTTTATAGGTCCCGAAAAAAATTATTTAAAAAATCCACGCCTTTTATAGGTCCAGAAAAAAATTATTTAAAAAATCCACGCCTTTTATAGGTCCCGAAAAAAATTATTTAAAAAATCCACGCCTTTTATAGGTCCCGAAAAAAATTATTTAAAAAAATCCACGCCTTTTATAGGTCCCGAAGAAAATTATTTAAAACATCCACGCTTTTTATAGGTCCTGAAAAAAACTAATTTAAAAAATCCACGTCTTTGGTAGACCCGGAAAAAAATTATTTAAAAAATTCACGCCTTTTATAGGTCCCGAAAAAAAAATTATTTAAAAAATTCACGCCTTTTATAGGTCCCGACAAGAAATTATTTAAAAAATCCACGCCTCTTATAGATCCCTTATAGGTCCCGAAAATTATTTTAAAAGTCCCCACCTCATAGTGGCCTTGAAAAAATTATTTTAAAAATCCCATCCTCCTGCAGGTCTGTCATACGGGCCTTGTTCATGATTTGGTGACGTTGTGCTAAAATAACGTCACAACACCCACACAGTTCTACGCACAGCCAGCCAAACAGCCATTCAGCCCTGTCAAGGTCGTTTGTTTCGATGTGTGAAGAGGGAATGCGAAGTAGTAACAAAGGATGCGTGTGCCTTAGCTAATGCCAGTGGCCCGGTCTTATTAAGGATTTTATTTTCGTACTTTTTTTTGGAAATTCGAAGAAATAAAGGAGCTGCCATAAAATTTGGTGTAGCTATTTTTAGGCTCCGACATTATTAATGGTTAGACGACGTGAGGCTTGTTGAGGTTGTTGTTTTTGTTGTTCGTGGGAAAAATAGGCCGTAGACATTTGTTGGAGGGTTTATTTTTAGCACGAAGTTAATAAGAAAGAAAGGAAAATGGCAAAAGTAATGTTCGGCATAATGCCTATGTTTTTCGTTATTGACAGATTTAATTTATTTTTCGCATTTTTTCTCTTCTTCTTCGTTACAGCCATGAAATTACCAGCAACATCCAATTAGCCTGTTTGACTCAACGAATTTGGTTGCTACTCTCCAATATTTGCCATGGCCTGTTAGCTGGTCTAGCATTGGCCCATTTGCTATTTGTGCTGAGTACCCATCCCATGGAATGGTCCAAGGTATTAAGTCTTGCTGGCGAGACCTCATCATCGGCATCATCTTCATCTGCAGCATACTCATCCTCCTCATATGGCGATTCCGAATCTGCCACAACAGAATCTCCAACAATAGCTGATGGTGATTTTGGTAGTTCAACAATGACGCCGCCGGTTACCACCACCAGTCTGGTGAGGACCGAATATGCCTCCTTTGCCAATTTCTACATAAACACTTTTTATTGCCTGGCGATTGTGTGTATGGTCTCGGTGCTGGATAGGTAAGTGAGGGAAAAAGAAAATGAAAAAAGCGAGGCCACTTTTAGAGGTTACATTCCATTTAAAAAAGCCACTTCAAATGACCTTAGCGTGCAGGTTGGTGGCATGTCTAACACCTCTTTTCGTAACTGATAACTGCTTGTTGTACAATTATACAATTTTTTCAAGGAGTTATTGTTCCCCGCTAAATGTGCACGGAACACGCCAAGCGGATATAAAACATTGACCTCATAAAATAATTAGGAAAATAATTTTTACACTAATTTTTAGGGGGGTCCTGGAGCCTCAGAACATTAAAAAATAAGTAAAAATAAAATAATACAATTTTTGGCACCTAAAAGTATGCAACATTTTCTTAACAAAAGGACTCCTCAAAGTATGCAACATTTAAAAATTATTTAAAAAATCCACGCCTCATATAGGCCTCAGAAAAAATTATTTAAAAAATCCACGCCTCAAAGTAGGCCTCAGAAAAAATTATTTAAAAAATCCACGCCTCAAAGTAGGCCTCAGAAAAAATTATTTAAAAAATCCACGCCTCAAAGTAGGCCTCAGAAAAAATTATTTAAAAAATCCACGCCTCAAAGTAGGCCTCAGAAAAAATTATTTAAAAAATCCACGCCTCAAAGTAGGCCTCAAAAAAAATTATTTAAAAAATCCACGCCTCAAAGTAGGCCTCAAAAAAAATTATTTAAAAAATCCACGCCTCAAAGTAGGCCTCAAAAAAAATTATTTAAAAAATCCACGCCTCATATAGGCCTCAGAAAAAATTATTTAAAAAATCCACGCCTTATATAGGCCTCAGAAAAAATTATTTAAAAAATCCACGCCTTTTGGTAGGCCTTGAAAAAATATTTAATTTTTTTCTTCCCATAATTCCACTACTCTGCTTTAAATTAAAATTTCATTTCTAAAGCATACTTTTAGGTGTGTAACAAATTACAATGGCAAACAATGAACGAACAGAAAACAACAAAAACAACACATCCTACAATATTACAAATCCTTTCAAATGAACGAACGAGCGATGACATTGAAATGTTTATAAAACTATCTCGTTCACACACACACACATTCACTCACTTACCACCGTACATGAAACATTTACACACACACATTCACATAAATAAACGGAATAGCTGTTAGCGTCATTACCATAACACAATCACACATACACTAGTAATGCACAAACAATTGTATTTCAGGACCAACCTCTCTTCTTCCCAACAGTCTCTCCCCTTCCACACACACAAACAATTGCTTAGCTGGTATTTCAGACTGGTTGGCATTCAAAAAATAAATATACATTTATTGTAGCATACTTTTAGTATAATTAAAATTAGATAAAAAACAACAAATGTAAATACGCACAGCACACCTGCGTGGGAAGAGGTTGTAATTTTTTTATGGAATACAAAAAAATATACCACTACAAAAAATAAATACACAGACAAGGGTATTTCTCATAGGTCCTTGAAAAATAATATTAAAACCAGTATCGAAATCTGAACCGATTTTCCTGAAACTTAGCACACATCATTCTAGATCCCAGTCAGTACCCTATGCCAAATTTGGCGCAAATCGAAAGATATATAGGGACTTTGGTACAGCATTTACATTAAATCGGATGAAAATATATATGGGAGCTATATCTAAATCAGAACCGATTTTCTCAAAACTTAGCACACATCATTCTAGACCCAATTCAGTACGCTATGCCAAATTTCGTGCAAATCGAAGTATATAAAAAGACTTTAGCACAGCTTTTACCTAAAATCGGACGAAACTATATATGGGAGCTATATCTAACTCTGAACCGATTTTCACGAAACTTAGCACACATCATTCTAAGCTTAATTCAGCACACTATGCTAAATTTCCCGCAAATCGATAGATATATAGGGACTTTGGTACACCATTTACGTTAAATCGGACGAAAATATATATATTGGAGATATATCTAAATCTGAACCGATTTACACGAAATATAACACACATCATTCTACACCTAATTTAGTATGCTATTCCAAATTTCGTGCAAATCGACCGTTAAATAGGGACTTTGGTGCACCATTTACCTAAAATCGGACGAAACTATATACGGGAGCTATATCTGAATCTGAACCGATTTGCACGGAACTTACTACACATCATTCTACACTCAATTCAGTACACTATGCCAAATTTCGTGTAAATCGAAAGGTATATAGGGACTTTGGTGCACCATTTAAATTAAATCGGACAAAAATATATATGGGAGCTATATCTGAATCTGAACCGATTTTCTCGCAACTTAGCACACATCATTCTACACCCAATTCAGTACCCTATGCCAAATTTCGTGCAAATCGAGGGATATATAGGGACTTTGGTGTACAATTTACTATATCTAATTCTGAACCGATTTTCTCGAAACTTAACACACGTAATTTTGGACCTAATTCAGTACGCTATGCCAAATTTCGTGCAAATCCATGGATATATAGGGACTTCGGAGCACCATTTACCTAAAATCGGACGAAACTATATATGGGAGCTATATCGAAATCTGAACCGATTTTCCCGAAACTTATCACACATCATTCCAGACTCAATTCAGTACACTATGCACAATTTCGTGCAAATCGAAAGATATATAGGGTCTTTGGTGCCCCATTTACCTAAAATCGGACGAAAATATATATGGGAGCTATATCGAAATCTGAACCGATTTGCACGAAACTTAACACACATCATTCTAGACTTAATTCACTACGATGTGCCAAATTTAGTGCAAATCCAAGGATATATAGGGACTTAATGCATCATTTACGAAAATATATATGGGAGCTATGTCGAAATCTGAACCGATTTTCTCGCAACTTAGCACACATCATTCTACACCCAATTCAGTACTCTGTGCGAAATTTCGTGCAAATCGAACGATATATGGGGTATTTGGTACATCATTTACACAAAATCGGAGAAAACTATACATGGGAGCTATATCTAAATCTGAACCGATTTTTCCCAATTTCAATAGGGTTTGTCCTTGGGCCAAATAAGTGACCTATGCTAAATTTCATCTAAATCGGATCATAAATGCGGCCTGTACTTTGTTCATATTTACAGACTTTCGTTCATAAAATCGGACGAAAATATATATGGGAGCTATATATAAATTTGAACCGATATTCACGAAATTTAGCACACATAATTCTAGGCTTAGTTCAGTACGTTATGCCAAATTTCGTGCAAATCGAGAAATATATATGGACTTTGGTGCACCATTTACATTAAATCGGACGAAAATATATATGGGAGCTATATCTAAATCTGAACCGATTTTTCCCAATTTCAATAGGATTTGTCCTTGGGCCAAATAAGTGACTTGTGCCAAATTTCATCCAAATCGGATTATAAATGCGACCTGTACTTTGTTTACATTTTTACATCTACAGACGGACGGACTGGCGGACATGCATAAATCGACTCAGAAACTTATTCTATGCATATTCTCAAAAGGAAATATATGTCTATATCGTTTCCTTTTCCCTGTTACAAACATATGCACAAAGACGTATGTGCCACAGTACCACAGTGTGGTGAAGGGTATAAAAATCTACACCTTGACTTGGATTTTTTCAATAATTATTTTTACTAGGTCTATTCGAGGCCTATAGAAGGTCTGGATTATTTAAATAATTTTTTCTAAGGCCTAGATGAGGCCTGGATTTTTTAAATAATTTTTTTCAAGGCCTAGATGAGGCGTGGAAAAAAATTGGGCCTTGAAAAAAAATATTTAAAAAATCCAGGCCTCATCAAGGCCTCAGAAAAATTATTTAAATAATCCAGGCCTTCTATAGGCCTCGGATAGACCTATAGAAAAAAATAGGAAAAAATATTTAAATCTTATCCTTGAACAAATTTTCTTTAAGTCCTGCGTTTGACATTTCAGTAGCTGGCCTCTGACACATTTCATTGCCAGGCAAAATAGGCGAACTTTTCACTGGAACAAAGAAAGAAAAATTTGTTCACTTAGAAGTGATGAAAAAAAATCCAAACAAATTTGAAACAAATCCCATTCGGAGAAGATTACAATGCCCTCGGCATTTTCATCAGGACTGAAAAGGCAAAGCGACAAATGGCCAGCAGGCAAATGCCTTGTATACATGTAATATATATATATATATTAAGCAACCCTCAAAGCCATATATAGAAAAAAATACAACAACAAAAATAACTCAATGAAATCTAAAAAAAATAGTTTTCAACTTTTGTTGTTGTTATTGTTTTTTTTTTTTGGATCTGACAAAGACAACGACACGACTCATGATGATGATGATGAGGAGGAGGATGATGTTCTTGATGACGACAGCACATTTATGGTAGCATCACCGTGTGTTGGTATGTAGACAGGCTGGCAGTTAGTACTCAAGCAAACTCCTAACTCCCTCCACCTCGCCCTCCATGGGGTACCCCCCCATCTCACAACAAAGTTCAAAATGTCAAATGTTATTTTGTAAGACGGCGACATTTGAGATGCCCCTGCTCGGTACTGCACCACATTACTCTTCCTCCACAGATTTCTCTCTGTGTGTGTGTGTGTGTGTGCACAGGACAAGAGATAAATTATCGAAGAATCCAAGTTGCAGGTCCTACTTGGCTGCAATGGAATTAGTTGTTGCCGGCGATGAACAAGACGTGAAGAGAATGTCAAAGTGTGTCTTTTTTTTGCTTACCAAGCTGCCCACATAGTTTTTTTTTGTCACAGTGAAGAAGAGCAGTTAACCCCAAATGATAATGGCAAATCTGTGAATGTCAATAGCACCTACGCATATGCTAAATGAATTGATTTGCCAAGCAAGACAGAAAAAACAACAACAAATATTGAAAGTCTTTTTTCAATAGTTTTTTCAAGGCCTATAGTAGGTGGGGATTTTTTTGAAATTTCTTTCCTGAGGACCATATGAGGCGTAGATTTTTAAAATAATTTTTCCTGAGGCCTAAATGAGGCGTGGATTTTTCAAATAACTTTTTCTGAGGCCTATATGAGGCGTAGATTTTTCAAATAATTTTTTCTGGGGCCTCTATAAGGCCTATATGAGGCGTGGATTTTTTAAATAATTTTTTCTGAGGCCTCTATAAGGCCTATATGAGCCGTGGATTTTTTAAATAATTTTTTCTGAGGCCTATATGAGCCGTGGATTTTTTAAATAATTTTTTCTGAGGCCTATATGAGGCGTGGATTTTTTAAATAATTTTTTCTGAGGCCTATATGAGGCGTGGATTTTTTAAATAATTTTTTCTGAGGCCTATATAAGGCCTATATGAGGCGTGGATTTTTTAAATAATTTTTTCTGAGGCCTCTATAAGGCCTATATGAGCCGTGGATTTTTTAAATAATTTTTTCTGAGGCCTATATGAGGCGTGGATTTTTTAAAGAATTTTTTTCTGAGGCCTATATGAGGCGTGGATTTTTTAAATAATTTTTTCTGAGGCCTATATGAGGCGTGGATTTTTTAAATAATTTTTTCTGAGGCCTATATGAGGCGTGGATTTTTTAAATAATTTTTTCTGAGGCCTATATGAGGCGTGGATTTTTTAAATAATTTTTTCTGAGGCCTATATGAGGCGTGGATTTTTTAAATAATTTTTTCTGAGGCCTATATGAGGCGTGGATTTTTTAAATAATTTTTTCTGAGGCCTATATGAGGCGTGGATTTTTTAAATAATTTTTTCTGAGGCCTATATGAGGCGTGGATTTTTTAAATAATTTTTTCTGAGGCCTATATGAGGCGTGGATTTTTTAAATAATTTTTTCTGAGGCCTATATGAGGCGTGGATTTTTTAAATAATTTTTTCTGAGGCCTATATGAGGCGTGGATTTTTTAAATAATTTTTTCTGAGGCCTATATGAGGCGTGGATTTTTTAAATAATTTTTTCTGAGGCCTATATGAGGCGTGGATTTTTTAAATAATTTTTTCTGAGGCCTATATGAGGCGTGGATTTCTTAAGTAATTTTTTCTGAGGCCTATATGAGGCGTAAATTTCTTAAATACTTTTTTTCTGAGGCCCATATAAGGCCTATATGAGGCGTGGATTTCTTAAATAATTTTTTCTGAGGCCTATACGAGGCGTGGATTTCTTAAATAGTTTTTTCTGAGGTCTATATAAGGCCTATACGAGGCGTGGATTTCTTAAATAATTTTTTCTGAGGCCTATACGAGGCGTGGATTTCTTAAATAATTTTTTCTGAGGCCTATACGAGGCGTGGATTTCTTAAATAATTTTTTCTGAGGCCTATATGAGGCGTGGATTTCTTAAATAATTTTTTCTGAGGCCTATATGAGGCGTGGATTTTTTAAATAATTTTTTCTGAGGCCTATATGAGGCGTGGATTTTTTAAATAATTTTTTCTGAGGCCTATATGAGGCGTGGATTTTTTAAATAATTTTTTCTGAGGCCTATATGAGGCGTGGATTTTTTAAATAATTTTTTCTGAGGCCTATATGAGGCGTGGATTTTTTAAATAATTTTTTCTGAGGCCTATATGAGGCGTGGATTTTTTAAATAATTTTTTCTGAGGCCTATATGAGGCGTGGATTTTTTAAATAATTTTTTCTGAGGCCTATATGAGGCGTGGATTTCTTAAGTAATTTTTTCTGAGGCCTATATGAGGCGTAAATTTCTTAAATACTTTTTTTCTGAGGCCCATATAAGGCCTATATGAGGCGTGGATTTCTTAAATAATTTTTTCTGAGGCCTATACGAGGCGTGGATTTCTTAAATAGTTTTTTCTGAGGTCTATATAAGGCCTATACGAGGCGTGGATTTCTTAAATAATTTTTTCTGAGGCCTATACGAGGCGTGGATTTCTTAAATAATTTTTTCTGAGGCCTATACGAGGCGTGGATTTCTTAAATAATTTTTTCTGAGGCCTATACGAGGCGTGGATTTCTTAAATAATTTTTTCTGAGGCCTATACGAGGCGTGGATTTCTTAAATAATTTTTTCTGAGGCCTATACGAGGCGTGGATTTCTTAAATAATTTTTTCTGAGGCCTATATGAGGCGTGGATTTCTTAAATAATTTTTTCTGAGGTCTATATAAGGCCTATATGAGGCGTGGATTTCTTAAATAATTTTTTCTGAGGCCTATACGAGGCGTGGATTTTTTAAATAATTTTTCCTGAGGCCTATATGAGGCGTGGATTTCTTAAGTAATTTTTTCTGAGGCCTATATGAGGCGTGGATTTCTTAAGTAATTTTTTCTGAGGCCTATATGAGGCGTGAATTTCTTAAATAATTTTTCTGAGGCCTATATGAGGCGTAAATTTCTTAAATACTTTTTTTCTGAGGCCTATATGAGGCGTGGATTTCTTAAATAATTTTTTCTGAGGCCTATACGAGGCGTGGATTTCTTAAATAATTTTTTCTGAGGCCTATACGAGGCGTGGATTTCTTAAATAATTTTTTCTGAGGCCTATACGAGGCGTGGATTTCTTAAATAATTTTTTCTGAGGCCTATACGAGGCGTGGATTTCTTAAATAATTTTTTCTGAGGCCCATATAAGGCCTATATGAGGCGTGGATTTTTTAAATAATTTTTTTCTGAGGCCCATATAAGATCTATATGAGGCGTGATTTTCTAAATATTTTTTTTCTGAGGCCCATATAAGGTCTATATGAGGCGTGATTTTTTAAATAATTTTTTCTGAGGCCCATATTAGGCCTATATGAGGAGTGGATTTTTTAAATAATTTTTTTTCTGAGGCCTACTATAAGGCGTGGATTTTTTAAATAATTTTTTCCGGAGGCCTACTATAAGGCGTGGATTTTTTAAATAATTTTTTGAGATTTTTTTCAAAGAATTTTCCTTTGTGTTGTTGTTTTCAAATATGAAATAATCAATTATATAATTGTTATAAAAGATCCCGACGAAAAGGTCACCTAGATAACAGCCTTATTTATAAATGTCAAATGCAAAGCAAATGTACCTTTATACAAATGCAAATGTCATTTAAACAATCAATAAGCAATGAAATGGAATTGTGGTAGAGAGGGGGTAAAGGGGAGCGGTGGTGTATTGTAGTTGTCATCAGAAAACCAACTCAATAGATATTTATTTCGATATTTCCCTGACAACGGCCATAAATTAAAAATAACCGGAATAATTTATTTGAAAAAAAAAATCGTCAGAACCCGGAAAATATTTAAAAAAAAAAAAAATCCTTGGGCATCTGAGGACTCTTTTTTCAGTACCCTGAGGACTACTTTTTTCTATAGAAAAAATCCTCAGTACCCAGAGGACTACGTTTTTCTATAGAAAAAAATTCCTCAGTACCCTGAGGACTACTTTTTTCTATAGAAAAAAAAAATCCTCTATAGGATGCCTAGACGTATGAGTGTCGACAATAGTCATACGCACCTTTGGTCGTGGGAAAATGCCACATTTTTTGCTTTAATATTTTAAGAGGGTCCTCAGAGGCTTATTCATAAACATTTGTACATGCCCTATTTGTGAGGGTATTACAGCGGTAAATGGTGGTGTATGCGTGTTGACAATAGTTATACGCACTGGGTAAAAAATTAAAAAAATGGGTTTTATTTAAGTAAAACCAGAATGGGAATTTTAGTAAGATCCTGAAAACAATTTTTTTTTTCAATTCTAAAAGTCATTACTTTGCCCTATGTCACCATGGTCGAAAGAAAAAATATTACCCTGAGGTCTCTTTTTTCTATAGAAAAGAAAAATCTTCACTGCCCTGATGTCTACTTTTTCTATTCCTCAGTACCCTGAGGACTACGTTTTTCTACTTTCCTTCCTCAGTACCCTGAGGACTACTTTTTTCTATAGAAAATAATTCCTCAGTACCCTGAGGACTACGTTTTTCTATAGAAAAAAATTCCTCAGTACCCTGAGGACTACTTTTTTCTATAGAAAAAAAAAATTCCTCTATAGGATACCTAGGCGTATGAGTATCGACAGTAGTCATACGCACCTATGGTCGTGGGAAAAATGCCATATGTTTGTTTCAAAATTTTATGAGGTTCCTCAGAGGCTTACAATGGCGTTTAATTATTCATAAACATTTGTACATAACTTATTTGATATTTCCCTGACAACGGTCGTAAATAATAAATATCCTGAAAATTTATTGGAAGAGAAAAAATTCTCAGGTTCTTGAGGATTACTTTTTTCTATACAAAAAAAAAATCCTCAGTACCCTGAGGTCTACTTTTTTCTACAGAAGAAAAATCCTCAATACCCTGAAAATAAATAAAAAAATAAATGCTCAGTACCCTGAGGTCACTGCTCTGATGTCTACTTTTTCTATAGGATACCTAGGCGTATGAGTGTCGACAATAGTCATACGCACCTATGGTCATGGGGAAAAATGTTTTGCAATTTTATGAGGTTCCTTAGAGGCTTACAATGGGTTTTAAGTATTCATAAACATTTGTACATGCCTCATTTGTGAGGGTATTACAGTGGCAAATGGTGGCGTATGCGTGTTGACAATAGTTATACGCACGGTGTAAAAAATTAAAAATGGGGTTTATTTAAGCAGAACCAAATGAAAATTTTAGTAAGTCCTGAAAACAGATTTTTTTTCAATTCTAAAAGTCATTACATTGCCCTATGTCACCATGGTCGGAAGAAAAAATATATTAATTTTTTATCTTAGAAAATTATAAATAAAATTGGCTGCCTAAAATCCTCAGTACCTTGAGGAGTCTTTTTCTATAGAAAATAATTCCCTAGTCCTCTGAAAAATTCCTTTACCTTTTTAATTAATTTTTTTCCTCTAAATAATTTTTAATTAAAAAAAATGTTCCCCGTTTTTCAGGATGGACATCTGCCGCTGGAATTTATCCAATGCCTCCGAGCTGATATCATTTCGTTGGCTGATAATAGCCATGATTTATATAGCGACAATAATACTGACGATCTGTTCCGATAACATAGATGAGAGATTGTATTTTTCGAGTAATCTGAATGTGACGTTAACGCAAGAGGAATTGGTAAGAAAAAAAATTAATTTTAATAAAATTAAAAAATATATATTTAAAAAAAAATAATTTTTATATATTAAAAAATAAATTATTTTTTTTAATTATTTCAATTTAATTAAATTTTTTGTCGATTTTCCAGTTAATCAACAGCATAGTCTCAATATGGAGCAGTTTATCGGTGACGCGCAGCATTGGTGCCATCTGTGGCTGGATAATGATTGGCCTGACGCCGCACGAAGACTTTCTCTATGAACATTTATTGGATTTAACGCGTTATCAAATGACAAATAATTAAATTCCTATTAGTTAAATAATATTATAAAAAAATAATAATATAAATTAAAAATTATAATTAAATAGTTATAAATTATAACAATCGATCTCTTTGGCAATTGTAAAGAAATAATTTATAAAATCGATTCAAAAAAATGTTTATTTAAAAAAATAATTTAATTTTATTTTTAACAAGCGAATTAAGACACTGTTGAAAATTTGTGATGTTAATTTAATTAAGAATTAAATATAATTATAATCGTAAGAATAATTATCGATTAAGAAAATGTAAATAGTTATAATTTAATGTATAAAAAATTTATTTATTTTCTGACTAAGTAGTCGATATAATTTATTTAATTTTACTTAATTTAATTTTATTTATTTCTTTTAAATATTTATTTGAATGAGGAAATTAGGCGTATTAGTGTCGTCAATAGTCATACGCACCCAGGGTCGTGGGAAAAATCAGAAAGAGGATACCAAGGCGTATGAGTGTCGACAAAAGTCATACGCTCCCATGGTCATGGGAAAAACGCCATATTTTTTTGCTTTAAACTATTTTGAAAATTTGTTTTGAAGTACCTCAGAGGCTTACAATGGGATTTAATTATTCATAAACATTTTTGCACACCCTACTTGAGAGGGTATTACAGTGGCAAATGGTGCCGTATGTGTGTTGACAAAAATTATACGCACTGTGTAAAAATGCAAAAAGGATTATTTTTTGAAGAAAATTAATCTCACCTCTTTGAATAATTTTTTCATAGAAAAAAAAAATTTCAAACTTCTCTAGCAAATGAAGAATAATTTTATTCACAAAAAGCTCAAGCCTACGGGCTGGAAAAAAAATCTTCAGACTTCTTGATTTTTTTTTTTTGTAAAGAAAAATACTTTTCACTGCAAGCGGGATAACTTTTTTCTATGAAAATTAAATTAAAATTAGCGGTGGCGACTGATGGTATTACAGTGGCAAATGGTGGCGTATGAATGTTGACATTAGTTATACGCACTGTGTAGATACAGAAATTGCTTTTATTTAAGTAAAACCGAATTGCGATTTCAGTAAGATTCTCAAAATGTTTTTTTTTTCCAAATTTGAAAGTCCTTATTTTACCTTATGCCACCATGGTCGGAAGAAAAAATATTTTTTAATTTTTGTCTTAGAAAATTACAAATGTAGTTGGTTCCCAATGTGTTAATATGTTGCCCTATCGATGATTTCTGACAATAATCATACTCTTCCAAAACAAAAAACATAACTTTTTTATATAAAAAATTCTCTAAATTAACGGTAGCGTATGATTTCCGACAATTATAATACGCATCATGTCCGGAAAAAAATGTTTTTTGGGAGGCCCCATAGATATAGCTATCTTTTCTATAAAAAATTCCATAGATTTCTTTGAATTATTTTTATAAATGAAAAATATCCCTTACTCCACTGTTTTTTTGGAGGCCAATAGATATCTCTAATTTTTCCATATAAAAAATTCTCAGATCTCTTTGAATTATTTCTATAATATATTTCACTCCACTGGAAATAACTTTTTCATATAAAAAATGCTCCAAATTAACGGTGTTTTTTTAGGAGGTCTCACAAAGTATCACACATATCTCTGATAGAGTTTCAATCAATTTTTAAGCCCTTCTATATACATTACAAAATGGTAGCGTATGAGTAGTGGCAATAGTCATACGCACCATGGCCAAAGAAAATAAATAATCATACGCATCATGTCCTGAATAAGAAGGATTGTTTTTGGAAGGCCTCACTAAGTTACCACAGATATCTCTATTTTTTATAAACAAAATCCTCAGATCTCTTTGAATCATTTCTATGAAGAAACATATTTTTCACTCCAATGGGGATAACTTTTTCATAAGTGTTCGTCAATTTTGTGTAGTAACTTCCGACTGAATAAACCAACCAACATGAAGGCGTATGAGTATTGACAATAGTCATACGCACTATGTAAATACGAAGAAAAGGCTCCCTTTGGTTTGCATTGCAATTTTAAAATTTTTAATTTGAAATAAATAATTCAGTTGAGGGTGGCGTATGATTTCTGACAATAATCATACGCGTCGTGTCCTGCAGAAAAAGGTTTTTTGTGATGCCTCACTAAGCTACCACATATATCTCTAATTTTTCTATAAAAAATCCTCAGACCTCTTTGAATTATTTCTATAAAGGAAAATATTCTTTATACCACTGGAGATTACATATTTTTTTAAAACAAAACCTCCAAATAACTTCTGACGATAATCATACGCATCATGTCCTGTAGAAAATGTTTTTTTTTCTTTTTTTTTGGGAGGCCATATTTAGCTACCACAGGTATCTATAATAGTGGTAGCGTATGAGTAGCGTATGACAATAGTCAACGCATCTTGGCCAAAAGGAAATACATGTTTCCTTTATTGTTTTAGAAAATTTTAAATATTATATACAACATGAAGATAATTCGCATAAGGGTCGGAAGAAAAATCCAACCCAGGCTAGCGTATGAGTGTTGACAATAGTCATACGCACCAGACAATTTTTATACCCTACACAACTATGTTGTCAGGGTATTATAGCTTTGTGGGATCCCCAAGAGTTTGTAACGCCGCGAAATATTGGTCCTAGACCCACCTTCAAGTATACCGATCGTCATATCTCGACTAGCTGAGTCGATCTAGACATGTGTGTCCGTCCGTCCGTCTGTCCATTATAATTTGTAAACACGATACAGGCCACAGTTATGGACTAATCTTCACGAAATTTTGCATGTAGGATGGGTTCTGGCCAATGAAGATCCATATTGTTTTTTGTAAAGATCGGTTAATATTTAGGGGATGAAATATACCAAATACTTAATTTTTGTCGGTTTTTCTGGTCGCTCCGGAGACCTCAATTATGGCCCAAAGATCGAGAATTTTTACAAGGAGAATGGGATCAGGCCAAAGAATAAGCGTGCCTGTTTTCATGTTTATATTGTCGGATGTACTCGGATTTGGGAGTTACACTTAAACATTTACAGGTGCTTACATATTCAAATATTATTTAATAAACCATTACCACACTAGATGGCGGAAATATAGCGCTGATGGCATTGACATTTTCCATTAGAATCCAGGTATGATCAAGGACAACGCCTTTAACTTTCGGTGATGATCAGATAATAATATTGGAATGAAGTGGACCGAAAATTTAATTATTTGTGTTTTTTCGAGTCGATCTATAGTCAACAATTGAAAGCCCAACATCACAACATAACCAACGCTAAAATGAATCGGGACAAGTACAGCCCTCCTCTACTGAGTATTAGTAACATTTATTGACATCTAGTCGGTCAAGAGGGTGCAAATATCGCGAAATATTGCCCAAATGGTGTTTATAAATGGAAAAACGGCGTATGAGTGTTGACAATAGTTATACGTCCAATGGACCAAAGAAAAATATTATCATTGTTTTGGCTTATATTTGCCCAATTTTTTAATAATATTAATATCCAATAAAATTTAATTCTGTATGCTCATTACCTTAGGATTTTTTTATTATGAAATGGTTTCTTAAATAAAATTAAAGAAATTATAAACATTTCTATGGTTTTATTCTTATAAATTGTAAAATGTTATTAGGGTGGCGTATGATTATTATTAATATTTTATTTCGAAGAAATATAATTCATACGCCATATATTTTTCCACTAATAAATTTGATTTAATATTTTTAATATGAATATTTTTTGTATATATTTTCTATATTTTAATATGAAATTAAAGAAAATTTTTTATTTTTTATTTTGTACATAATTATAATATAAGCAGAACCATATAAATAACTATATTATATGGAAATAAAAACCAAAAACAAAACGTTTTTTAACCAAGATAACCAAAGCTTTACCTAGAGATCCCCCCAAGAAAATATATTTCTATGAGCAACCCTGAATCCCCAAACCTAAATACTCTCGCGCATAATATATTAAGCCAATTAGGAAAAGAAAAAATCATGGCAATAAATAACCAAAACGTAGTTTATATATATAATAAAATGTAGTATCATTATGGAAATACCAAAATCCAAAAACATGCCCTTCAAAGGCCGCTAGAAATCAAAGTTTGATTTTAAAAACCAAATAAGAAACAAAATTAATTGTAATAAAAATAATAAACAACAAAATTAAGTACCAATACCAAAATTATAATGAAATTATGTAGTAGTGAAAAAATACAAATAAATTTAGTGCAAACAAAAAAATTAAAATACAAACAAACAATCCTTTCTGAAGACAAAATTTAAAAAAAAATAATTTAGAAATGCTTATTTATTTTTATAACTTAATAAATTGTTATTAATTTTTTTATATAAAAAATTGTAAAAAATTATTTAGTTTTTTATGTATAAACTATAAAAAATAATAACACACATATTCATTGGAAAATTTGATTTGTTTTAAATTTTCAGAAATTTTTAGTTTTTTGAAGAAAAAAAATAATTTTATAAAATTCGAGGCCCTGCGGATTATTTTTTTCGAGTCCCTGTGGTGTTTTTTATAAGATTAAAAAAAATATATTTTTTACATAATTAAAATCTTGTAGCTTGAAAAATATTTATTTTTTATTATAGCTACTTACAAAAAATCCAAGTCTCACTGTCCATGGTATCTATTTTTATGAAGCCAAGCTACCACAGAGCTAGAAAAAAATATTTGTTTAATAAAATCAAGGCCTTTGGTATTTTAAAAAATTTGATTTTTGAATTTATTTTTTATACAAAGTCATGCGGCTACTTGAAAAAATATTTTTTTATTTGATGGCATTAAAAAATATTTAAAAAAATTTCCTAAAAAAATAGTTTCTAACAATTTGTTAAGCCCTTTGTCATACCTTACAAAATGGTTGCGTATGAGTAGTGACAATAGTTATACGCACCATGGCCACAAGGAAATAAATGTTTCGTTTAATGTTGTAGAAAATCTCAAAAAAATATCTCTGTTACTATTTATATTACATTACAAAACATTACGTCGAGTGAGTTA